TAATAATAATAATAATAATGTGCGTGCGCACCTTGAACCGGCTCCTCACATCCTCCACCGCTTAAGCTCTCGCAACCTGCAAAGACGCCGGGGAAGTTCTCGGCGGTAAATCTCCGATGCTTAAGTTAGTAGAGTTCTAAGAAGAGCACAGTATAGATATTTAGGGTTTGTAACGTCATGCTTACCATATTCTTCCTTCCCATATTTATACCTGAATGCTTAGTTATACCTTACGCTTCACCTCTCCTCCGTCCCATTCCTCTAATTCTCCTTTAACCTTATTCTTATATGGGCCGAGCCCATTATACTGCAGCCAACATGGGCCGAGCAGATCACACTTCACCAATCCGCGTTTAATAAATGGACCGAGCAATGTCCACTCAGCACCCTAAGCTCTTGGATACGTAAATAGACCGAGCAACCCCTACTTAGTGAAACTAATCTGCAGGGCCTTGAAGAAAACGAGCAACTAAGGCTTCCATGGACCGCCTTGTTACTAGATTGAGCTTATCCGTAAAAACCGGGCCGAGTATCTACCAAGTGAACCGGATCACACTTATGTGCCATATCAAATAATAATAATAATAATATGGTCCTATATAAACAAAAATGAGAAAAAAAAAGAAAGAAAAATCAATTCAATGGATCAATTTTAATGAGGAATAAAATAATGGACCAAAGATCAATATAAAGTAACTAAGACTAATATTAAAAATTTTCCATATTTATCCATCAGAAAAAAAAAAGGATGAATTTTTTTGTGGTTATTTTTTATTTATTTATTTTTAGTTATGGATCCTTAGATGACGTGTAAAAAGGCATGAATGAATTCAATTAAGATAAGAACTTATCCAATATATATATATACTTACCCACTTTAGAATCTCCCGACATATGACATCTTGGAAATTCTTCAAGGACAAAAAAATAAAAATAAAAATAAATAATAATAATAATAATAATAATAATAATAATAATAATAATAATAATAATAATAATAATAATAATAATAATAATAATAATAATGAAACTAGCTAGCAATATCTCAAATCTTATTACTTGTAAAAAAAAGGTTTTTTTATTATTTTATTTTTATTTAATTATTTATTTTTTCTAGAATTGGCAAAATGCTTGTGATAGACAACACTTGTCCAATATCTATATATGAGCTATCTATCTATCTGATCAGCATAAAATGACACAGTCAGATGCCAACTTTTGCAATAATATAGTGCATTGCTATCATTCAATCACCTTTTATTTCTAAGAATATTTTTTTTTCTTATTCTATTTCATTTTTAATTTGATTTTAATCCAATCACACTATATATATATATATATATATATATATAATTTTCTTATTCTATTTCAGTTCAAGAATGCATTACAGAACTTGAACCTAGGTGATAGGTGATTGCTTATGTGCGATTTTTGAACTTGTACGTACTGATAGTTTATAACTGATGCTCAAAATTAGTTGATACGATAATGTTCAGTAAAATTGGATTATAACTCATAAGTCAACTGAAATAATAATTTCAATTTGCATTTATGGAAAAATAATGGAATAAGTTCGAGCTACTTTTTTTTTT